CAATACTAGTCCATAAATTCCTCTTTAGACTCACACAGCACATGCAATGACACGGAATGAAGGAAGATCAGTGGGTAGAAGGTCTTGTGGAAGGTCTTGTGGCCAGTGGCAGTGGAAGCATCCCAACGGTGGCACGAATCTCCATGTGTCTCCTCCAGCTCGGAGTGTCTCAACAGCAGGAAGGGGAAGGCAGAAAGAGAGTGTGTCCCACTTCCAGGGAGGAAGAAGTTCTCCAGAATCCTCAGGAAAAGGCCATGACCACACAGAGGCATGATTGGCTATGACCTGATTGACAGGTTAGACTCTGCCCCTTTGCTCAAGTTGACAGATTATGTAACTGCCACAAACTGATTTTCTTTGAAGGTCTCAGACCTTGGGAAAATATTAAAATAAAAATATAAAGAACAGTCTACTATAGGATTTGTTTATATAACTTTCTGCCTATGCCCTCATAATCCATGAAAAACAAATTGATGCTGGTAGTTTCCTTTTTTTGTCGCTGTGAACTCTCTCCAAATAGAAATAGTAATAACAGCAACATCCAGCATTGCACCACCTCATGTCACCCTCACACGCCCCACACCCCTGAGAAAGTGTAATACTGTCCTCACTTAACAGGTTTCCCATCACCAGCACAGTCGTGGTAGAATTGGTTCTGACAGCTTACCCACATGTGTTGGAGAAGAATGCTGCTCCATAGGGTGTTTAGTGGCTGCTTTTTTAGTAGATTGCTAGGGGTGTCGTCTGACATCTCTCGGGGTGGACCCAAAACTTTTAACATTCTAGCTAGCAGCTGAGCATGTTCATGGTTTGTGCCAGTCAAGGAGATAATTAACCATTAAGTAACTTGCTCAAGACCCCATTTTAAGTGGTGGAATCTGGTTATTTATCTTGGTGTGTTGGGTTCTAGAATTTGGGCTCTTAACCCCTGTGGCAATGACAACAAGCACACGGACATGTGAGCCTCTGGACTGGAGATAGGTCACATACAGACTATTCTCCCCCTAATTATGTGCTTGCAGCACTGAGCGACATCCCTTTCCCAACGTCCAAAGTAGGACATGGAGGTTGACAACCCTCCACAGAGCCTATGGAACTCAACAGGATGAAGACGCGCGGCTCCTGCGACTCTTGGTCCTGGCTTTTTCTTCAGTAGCCAGCACATTCAACATCCTATCAGTGTTTCTAATAGTAGCCGACATCCTCTCTGTGTGAAATAGCTCATTTTATTTCAAACTTCATCTGTGAGTCTGCATTCTTACTTACCAAGTCACTGTTTTGCTGAGTTTATTGGAATAAACAGGTAAGGTGGGTGAGGAGGGACATGGGAATGGGCAATCAGAGGGTACAGGCTTGTGATTACTGTGTTTTGATTGCTCAGCTGGTGTTTTCCTTCTCTACCTGTGGAGTATCTCAGACCACTGTTTCTTTAAACATACAGAGGAGACATTTATTTCCAGGCAGATGGAGTGACCCACTGCATGCAGCTAACCACCCTAGATATTATAAACAAGCTGAGGAGGATTCTGAAAGGTGGAAACAAGGTATGCTGGGACCCGGGGACCAGAGGAACAACACAGCGTTCAAATCCCTGAGATAACCTCATCCCTCTCCCTCTGACCCCCTCCCGTTATGGTACACCTCAGTCCTAGACAAGTTGACAACACAGAAACACCACAGGGTGCTGACCGAAAAAGGCCAAGAAAAGACTGCTTTCTCAGGGCAAAGACCCAGCCTGGAAAAACAGGACACTTTAGCCAGTACCTGTTCTCCCATCACTACCACCATGGAAAAGTCTAAGTGCCACCTCCATCAGGTTATCACAAGATCCTCATCTTTCTCACTAGGGTGCTGTCAGAGAAGGCAGAGTCGGGAGCTGATCTTCGGCTGTGGTGTCAGGGGTGAATATGGGGAGTTGGGACTTCTACACGAACCCAACATCAATCACTCACTGGAGGTGGGACACATGCTCACTCCCTGAGAGATATTCTAGCTGACAAGACACATGGAACTACTCTAGTGCCTTGAGCTGGAGCCATGTGGAGACCCCTGCCAGCCCTGACACGCTACCACCACCACTGGATCCACAAGACTTTCCACCCATTGGCCTGTGATCTTCCTGCATTTGGCATCAGTGCATGTGTTGCGTGAGTCTGAAGAGGAATTTACAGACTGGTATTGGACGTATGGGCTAATATCGGACTTATGGACTTGATCTGGACTGAGCTGGGATGTTTTCTCAATATTTAATTGCTCTTGTACATAAATAAAGCTCTTTCTTATACACATGAGTATCTATGAATTTGTTTCTCTAGTCAACCTGGACTAGCACAGTTTCATTTTCCTGCAGGACTGTTGCTAGACATGTTCTGCAGAAACATCTTATTTAAATAAGATCCAGTGTCTTTATGATGATATCAAACATATGTATGTACCAATTGAAAGTCACTCATCACACCAAAAACGTGGAAGAGTTCAACTTGAATAAGGAAAGACAAAGGCCAGAGGCCAACACCAACATGGCACAGGTGTTTGAATCATTGGAAAAGAATTTTGAAGCAGTTATCTTGAAGGTGTCTAAATTAGTAGTAACACACTTGAAAACACACATGAAACCATAGGAAGTCTCAGCCAAGAAACAGAAGATACTACCAAAAAAAGAAAAAGAAAGAAAGACATTTTAGAACTTAAAAGATGCGACAGTAGACTGGACAGGCTACAGGAAAGAAACAATGAGTTTGTGAAGAAATTAGCCAATCGAAACAACAAAGCAAGTCGATGCGGGAAAATAGAAACAAAAGAAAACCAAGAACAAAGCGTTAGAACCATGTAACTTCACAACAGAAAGGTTTAATATATGAACAACTGAAATCCCAGGAGAGGAGAAAGCTTACAGGGCTGAAAAAGTAGTTGAGGGAAGAACGGCTGATTATTTCCCAAGTTTTTTCCCTGCCAAAAGTTATTGCCGTCCACCCCCCACCCCCAGCCAAATGCAAACTCAAGATGCTGAGTAATTCTGAAAGAGGATAAGCCCAAAGAAACCCATGTCGAGACACGTCATAGTCAAACTTTTGAAAACTAAAGACAGCAAAAAAACATGGAAAGGCGTCAGAGAGCTATGGCACAAGCATTACTGGCCTGAGATGAATAGGTAAGTTATCATAAAATTCTTTAAAAAATCCACAGTTGTCGAGGACTGTAAATGCTTGTTCGCTTGTGAAGCTCATCCATTGGTCGTCTCAGCTGTACAGAGACCAACCGAGCGTGCGCACAGCATTCACGCAAAGCCACAACCGCAACCACAAGTCAGTGTCTCAGAGTCAACTGTGACTCCTGGCGATGCTATAGGAGAGTAGAATCGCCTCTGTGGGCTTCCGAAGCCATAAAACTTTGTGGGAGCTGAAAGCCTCACCTTTCTCCTGAGGATAAACAGCTCAACTTGTAGAAACTAAATACTGGGCTTGTGGCAAATTGGGACATTTGTCAATCCCATTCTTGCTATAGCTGCTTCACAGCAGGTGTACACCTTAAAGTAAATCAAGGAATCGAGACTTGGAATGAAACCGAAAAAAGGAAACTCAATAGTAGAAATTTCAATTTGGGGTTCATGAATAGATTTCAGATTTGTCAACTCCCTGAATTAAAAAAAGCCAAGACACGTGCTTTTTCTCCAAGAGGCTGTTGGCCTTGGAAAGGCTTAAGCACCCCTCCCTCTAAGGGTTTCCGTCCCTTTCAGGCAAACTGTAATAGGCACCTTTAATGGGAGATTGAGCTAGTTTTAGAGGGGCTCCCCATCACACCCTCCCAAATTCCTTCATGAGAATATTTTAGGGTTCAGGGGAAAGGAGGGAAATGGCAGTTTTCTAATCCCCTCTAAGCAATCTGGAAATAGGCATTAAAGAATGTTTCCCTGTAGTCTTATATTAAACATTTAAAAATTAGTAGCTGAAAGTGACTGACTAATGTACAGTGATTTAAAATGTATTTTAGGCCTGACTTCTCCCAGGTCATTAATGCAAAAGTTCAGAGTTGCAAGCAAGAACAGCAGTTTCTATCTCTCTCTGGGCTGGATGATCGATGGTACTTGTCCTACAATCTGCATGCCTATTTCCTCTTAAAAACAAAACAAAACAAAAACATCACGCAAAATTAAGTTCTAGTAATTTACAGTGTATAACTGTTGTCCAAAAATATCAGTGGTATATCTGGTAAACAATAACAAACACCACTGTGCCAAAGTCATTTCACTTCCAAGCCTTCATAACGTGCCTGTCCCTTGCTGCCTGTATCCCCTTCCAAATCTCTCCTGTGCAAGCCAGGTCACGCCACACCTGGAGAATGGCATCGTAAAAAGCGGTTTAGATGGTGGCTGCCTGTTTCCTGCTCAAACCTATGTTCCCAGTTGTCACCTTGGCATTAGACGTCTTCCCGCTTTCAGTGAAATCCCAAAGTAGTCTCATTTTCCCAGACTGTAGATGGATTTACTGTGCTGGCGGTGCCAACAGGATCAGATTACTGGAGGCCCTTGTTAAATAGAGTTCCAGGTACCAGCTTAGGTCTTACTGAAACACAATCTTCAGGAAGAGCCTGGGAATCGGAGTCTTACCAACTGCCTGGTGTAAATCACAGGCTCAAACAAGTTTAAGGAGTACTATTTAGCTGTCTTTCTAAACTTTATTGTCTTCAATTTATCTTCGGCCCTTGATACAAATTTAGTTGGCCCGGGTGAGCCCTGAGAGTCTGTATTTCTGAAAGCCTCTAGTTGATATTGCTGGTTCTAGCAAACTTGGGAGTATTAAGTTCAAAGATCTCATCAGGTTGGTGTGTAAATGCACTTCTCTTCTCCGCCTTTGGATTTTCTGACCGAAACCTGATGGGGCCCATTTCTCGTGTGACTGGTCAAGGTCAGCATTCTGCTCTTCTTTCACTTGGCTTATGTACATATCCAGTCTTCATATAGAAACAGCCCCAGATAAGCAATAACGGACACCACACATTAATTTCCAACATAATGGGTTTAGATTTAATACAGCATTTCTCATTATGGGGGTGTTAATCAGTTAATATAAAGGCTTGCTTTTTAAAACAATAAATCCCTTCTCCATTTCAATGTTCAATATAAAGTTTTAAAAACATAAATCGCTTCTACTTTTCAATATTAGAAACGTTGAAGAATTTTCTAAACATATTCCTCCCCAAAGACATAAAAGTTTCAACTTTTGAATATATTTCATATACGAGTATAAGATTAATTTTGGATATAACAAAACACAAACCCAGTGAAACAAGAGGCAGTAATTCAGACCAAACGCTACTGCTTTCCCAGGATTCTGGACAAGGGCTTCCTTCTTATTTCATGTGCCCCGAGCCTCATCAAGCCAAGTTCAGTCATGTTATTTCTCTCACATCCTTCCTAATCAGCAAACACAAATCTAAAGGCTGCACTTTCCAATACATCTTGATGTGACAAGAACACTTTCCCCCATCGAACATACATATATCAATTTGTTCCCATTTAGAGGAAAACATCTAAAAGGTAAAACTACCCTATTAATGATCTGCTTCTTTGGGAATGTTCAAACGGCATAGGTCAGTTTTCATAATTTCAAGAGCACAAAGGTTTGTCGCGGTCATGTTTGCCTCAGGAGGCTCTTCAGAGTCACATCTGCCCATTTCTCTTTCGTGCATACACCCCTAGGCAGGCACAGATGCCTGTAATGCTAAGAACCACTCCTAACAAGAGAGCAATCGCATCTCCTGCTTCCACCGCTTCCACCACAGGCAGCACGGAGAGCAGTGAAATCAGGGCCAACACCAACTGAGTGGGAGCCGAGGGCATGATGCTGGAATCTTGCGGTGGCTGGATCTCCAGGCCGATGGTTCC